TTATTTTTATACAAATCGCAGGTAGAATTGTTGACAACTCTGACTTTAACCCGCGATTTAAGTCTATCTTAAACTAATCGGATCCTAAAAGGGCTTAGTCCTAACATAGTTAGTTCAGGTTTACTTGACTCTTAACTTAAACTATAAAGTAAAACTTTATAGCAAATAGGCAGTCTAAAACAGCTTTTTGGTGCTGACAAAATGTTAAATTATTTTCAATTTGTTTGAATTTAAATTTGGGATTATTCTCAAATTGGACTTTTCTAATTATTACTTCGGGCAATTTTGATTTTTTACATATCCTTTTCCTTGAAAGCTGCTTAGAAAGCGTAATCGCAAAATTAAAAAAATGTGCTGGAAAATGTCAAATATAAAATGTGATTGTTTGTAAGGAAGACAGGGAATCTTTCTCCGTTTGACGGATCTCCGTGTGCACTTCACTATCGATCAAGTAACTTGAAAGTGAAGATCGATAGGCACGGTCCACATAGGAAACAAAAGAGGTTTATTTCTGAAGCACTGATAAAGTCTTGGAACTCCCAGTACCGCCGGAAGTACTCTCCTTAATATAAACCGGTAATGTACAACTTGGCAAAAGTCGGATCGGCCTGCTTGCCACTGGCACGGCTGCATAGAATTAAATAAGCTAGAATACAAAGATTGTGTTAAATGCTGCCTGAAATTCGATTTATGTATCTTTTTACGAATTCCGCGCACGAATGCCAAAAATTAGAATTGCTGTGTTCCACAGTACGATCCCAAATACTGCCAAATCTCCGAAATCTTATTGTTGAATATGCGCCGAGACGGAGAGGAAATAATAAATGTAATTTCAATAAGACGAAACAAAAGGAGGCCATTATTAAGAAAAATGAATGTACATACTTATATGTGTATTATTTTTGTACGATCAATGTTTTATGTAATTTCGTTGGAAATCAATTCTTATTTGTGCATCAGCATAAATAAATAATACAGTAACATTTTAATAAGAAGATATTCTTCATTCCATGGGCACAACGTTGAAATGTTTCCGCTTTTGCGAGGTAAGCAGCGGGGAAATGCAAATTTCTCTGTTCAGAGAGGCGATCTCCCTTCTAAAGTAAAACGAGAGTACTTTACCGCATAATTTTTTGCCCATTTTGCTGATTTATAGTCTCGGGTCGACTTCATTGCTAGTCGATTCTTCTCCGAAGCCGGTACATAAATGAGAAGCCCGGTTATATCCATTACTTACAAATCTCTCATCGCCAATCGATTTCTATCTCTTTCGACCGTATTTTGTGATAATTGGAATGACAATAAAGAAAAGACAAAGAAATACACGGATATGACGAAGGACACGTTGTACATCTACGTCGATATTTATATATCGCTGTACATGTGTTATGTCCAATTCCACCAATGTAGTCTAATTTTAATCTCGGTTTAATTTACTTTCCATCTTTTCCCAACTGTTAGAGCTAGAAAAAGATTTAAAAAAAAAGGTGAACCGAGATTAAAGGTGATCTGCATTGATAGAAGTGGACATTAGACCCGGTTTTTCCAACGTCGTTTAACTTTAAGCTTACAATCAGTTCAACTCATACTTTGTCTCTTCCTAGGGGGCAGATAGAGATAAGGGATAAATTAAATTAGAGCTTAGTCGACCAATGTTCGCTGTCCCACCAGGAGTTCATTTCTGCAAAAATCAATTTGAATATTAATTGATTGTGAAAATTGTGCAGCTTGATGACATTTCATACAAATATTCGATACTTCGTGATTTGTTCTATTTTTGTAAACGCAATTTTATAAAAATAGCAAAATATAAAAATAACCGTGGACTGATAAACGATAGCCAACGTAATCAACACAGTTCGCGGCTGGCACAGCATAAAGATCTCATACGCGGCCCGGAGGGTTTCATCACATTCGATTCGCCGGTGGTAGCGCTCGAGGTGATTCCGTGCATTCCCTCTATTTACTGCAGGTGCACGCTTTCCTACGACGACGCGAGCACACACGATACAAGCCGGGAACATGTATATAAACGCGATAAATCGCCGACACGCGTTCGTCGGCGGTGTGTGAAGCTTCCCGCTCGGATCGCTCGTCGAGTAGATCCGTCACGAATGCAGACGCCCACAGCGATGCATGAAGTGCATCGCGGTGCCGGTTGCACTCGTATTTCACGAAGTTCCCCGGTGCTTCGTCTACGTCATTTTTTCCTCGGGGCTCGCGCGCCGGAAGAGTGGAAATCGTCTCTCTGCGGAATGAGTTCCTGATACAGCCGAGCGGTCGGTGGATTTAGACGATTCGCGATCTACACCAAGGGAAGGCGAAACAGAGGAACGGTATAATTTATCGACTTCCACGTGTGCGGGATACCGCGGCACATCGCGCGGCCGTTAAGAGTTTGGTTCTTATTAACGTAATGAAATTTCAATGTAACATCTCGTCCGCGTGATAAATCATTCCGCTGGCTGGGGCATATTGTATCAGTGATCGATCAGCGGATTAACCGCGAATATATAACTGCGTCCCTTTAATACGTGTTTTTAGCGAATTAAACGTTAGGCTTTTATCCGAAGGAGTTTAATCGTGTATATAGGAGACGCGTATATTACGTAACATTTTCTATAATGTCAAATAGACGTATAGCGATTAAATTTTTTAGAAATGTCTTATACAGTCGGGCTGGATTTTTTTAGTGTCTATGTGTATAATACTTTTGCGTATGCATTGTGCAACCAGCGGGCCGATAACTTTTAGACTTGAAACACAGTCCGAGCTGAAATCCGATAGTACACAGAGAGAATTTTCTCATAAGGCCTGTGTCCACGTTGCTGGAACTTGATCCAAATTCTAGTTCCGAGAAATGTGCAGCCAATCAACTTGTAGCTCTTATGGAATAGCTGCGAGTTGATTGGCTGCACATTTCTTGAAACTAGAACTTGGGCCAAGCATCGTGGACACAAACCTTTAAAATTTATCCTGAAAATCATGCGATCGTGGGACAACGTGAAAATTTTTGAAAATTTTACCATGTATTTTACTAGTAGAAATTGGCTCGGTCTAGTTGTATTACGTCTATGGTTACCAGCATGCTTCAAGGGGTTAGTCAGTTCGACTACCGAAACACATGTCTTTGTATACTAATTTCAATTTTAATCGAGTTGGTAGCACACAGAAGCACAATATGCTTAAACATCTTTCCTCCTCTAAAGTGAAATCGTTGCTTAAAGATTGTGGCATTATTGTACGCATAAATTGCTGTATCGTACAACAAATTTGACCTGTTATATTGTATTTAATCTGCTCGCAGCAAACGTCGAATCCCCTTCCTGTTTTTCATTATGGTAATGTTTAACATCGGACGGAAAGTCGCTCTCTGGAAGTGTTTAGTCGTCAAATCCATTGAAGAGCATCCTCAAAGCGATCGCTCGGGGGCGTTTTCTAGCACATACCGACACGCTCTCCTAACGTGAATTCACGCTCCAAGTCGCGCCACTCGACTTCTGTCGCTTTAAGCCGGATCGGGCCGACGTTTCTGAACCGAGAGGCAAGATCGCTACTTATCTACGATCTAGCTATTCTGTGGATCAGCCCGCGCGGATCCGAGAGTCGATGGGTACGGTGGCTGCGCGCTGGCGGTTGGGCGCGGGGAGGGCGCACAATGCCCGGTATCTCCCACCCTCCGCTGACGAGGGGATCCATCTAGCCACCAGCCATCGGTTTCTTTCTCCATCCTCTTAACGGCGACCATCAATGTGCCTTAGTCGCTCGCGGAGCCCACTCCGGGCGCATCGTTATCTCAGCCGCGATAAGCCCCGCAGGAGAACAGATGACGAGTATTTTTTCGCCCGGGCAAATCTATTTTAAATTCTCTTCCTATCCCCCGTACTGCGCGCGCGGGGGCGGCCGTAAACGACACGGCGGTATTTCTCCCGCCAGCTTCTCGCGGCATATTAATTTCCGATAAATCAGCATCCGCGTTCCGCGCCCGCTTTCGTTTCACCGCCCCCTCCCACGTCCGCACGCACCCTTATTATGCCCCGGTTCCCGCGGCGAAGACGCGCGGCGATCGAATTGCGGTATCAGAATCTCATTTCGCGGCGAGACGACGCTATCTCGTTGTTTCACTTCCCCCCCCTCGCGGCGATACCGCGTGGGAAAACGAGAAGGTGACGCGATGCGCGACGGTGTTTCCGCTTGATGCGAAACATTACGACAAAGTCGATCTACCTCGGATGGATTGTGCCGGGGCAAAAAGCTACGGATGATCAAGCTCATCTATTTATCTCTGCCTCTAGGGGGATTATAAAAATATATTTAAAAATGTACATAAAATGTATAAAACATGTATGTATATTAAATGAATAAATCTTTACATAATAGGGACGTAGATACATGGGAGAAATGCAATAGAAGTATTTGTTCGAAAGGTATAATTTCATCACTAATATTATTATGGAAATTAAATAGTATTGTAAATATGTAGGTTTACCGATGGAACATATTATATTATAATATTCTCATATTTTAATGTGAGCATATTGTATAAATATATCAGATATACACACATTCATTGCAGCAAAATTAATTATGAAAGCTGAACGAATGGTCTATTTACTACATTCTTCTCTTTATTTGTCTCTTTAATTGAAACGGTGCGGTTTTCGCCCTCATGGCTCCTGCCCACTGGACGCGGTATCGTTGCCGCGTCCAGTGGGCCGGAGCCATCACGCCCAGAAAAAAAGATTAAAACCTAATCTATAATGTGCTCTTTGCATCTAGGTATGAATTCTCTTAGAAATTTCAGTCGTAATAAATAAAATTTTGGTTAAGGCGAAGAAGTAATTTCTTTGAAATGAAATAGAAGTCTAGTGAGGTGAAAATTCAAAGAAATTTGTTTGATTTAGAAGAAACTTTTGTCTGAGTGTAGTTTATATTGTACTAGCTACGTACGATTGTCGCTCGCAGAAAGTGAAGAAAGCCGTTACTTGTGTGCGTTTTAGGATTTCCATGGAATAGCCACTCACGATGACCAATACGACATTTTTTCGCGTCATCCTGGCGCTCTTGGGGGGCACGCACGTTTTGTGCTCACAGCCGTCGGCGTCTCCAACTGTGAAAACCGGTGAGTACCTTTACAACAGACTCGATTACTAGCGTTATACCACTTTTATTTGTCCGCTGATATCTCCCGTCGCGCGCATTGAGATCGAAAGTGCCATTAGTTTCCTACTTCGCGTTCCGATGCAATAAACGCGCGCATTTGCAGCTTTATCAGCGGCGATTTTTTGACAAGATAGCACGCGGAATATTGCACCAAGTATTATTACGCTGAAAATAATGCCGGTATAAATTTATAGCTACCGCTAGGAATGCACGCTATTGCATCGGAAATTAAATCTTTCGTGTCGAATTGTAGCAACATCTATCTCTTCGCTACTTCGCGCGATTATTAATGGCTCCAATTCGCGCGATGTTACATGACCCGTCCTTTATCAATTAAAGTGTGCGCATTCAACGTCGGTGAAATTAATAAACAATTTACAGCTGCGAAATAGAGGTATCTGTATTTTCAAAGTTTTCCATGTGGCGCCGCTGTGTACCGTAAATCACAAATATGAAACAACGATCCTTATTACGTTCAATGTACGTCGAGATATCTCGTTATTCTGAAAGAAGTAAGGTAGCAGATGAATTTGGGCTAACTTCTCTAATAATATATCTTTAAAACATCATTTCGCCAGGAAAAACATGCAACGGGAGTGCAAGCCGTGTGTACGCGCTGACTGCATTAAAATTCCACAGTAACTCAGTGATCTTGGTTTCTACGAGGTTCTTAGTCATATTTTTATGAAGATGTAAAGCTACCCTCGTCAGCTTTGTTCCATTTCCAATAATCATTGTAGAATGGAATTATCATGCAAATGAAAGCGTAGCATAATGGCTCTGTATGTAATTAACGAGTGTCCCAGTCTTTCGTAACAGAGTGAAGCTGTGAAATGGTGACGATAAAATATTCGCGAAGGCAACGAACTGAGGCGGACGGTAAACGAGTAAGTCCGGGGAAAGTGACGGTAATGCGTATGCACTGTTCCGAAAGATAGGATGTCCGTCTTGTCGCTGTAATTTTTCTGATCAGATATCCTCGTTCCGTCTCCAACGTGGCATAATGAAGTAAATTACCGAAGAGAGTAAATGGTTGAAAATAAATAGCTGCAAAGAAATGAGATAAATAATTAAAATACTTTTGCCACGCTATAAATATATATGCCTTTCTCTATTTTCATTCTGCTTCTCTGTATTAATTAGCTGTATTAATTAAACCTAATTGAGCGTGATCGACGAAGGAAATTGGGATACATTAAATAGCTAAACAGGCATTATGGAGGAGAAATGTTTTGTTTTCATTTAAATTACAAAACTGTTTCATAGATTAAATCTATTATTATACTATTTTAATTAATAATAATGAGGAAGCAGCTTTCCTCCCATTTCAACGCCTAGATAACCTTTCCAATTATTCTGAATTCATTGCTTTAATTATTCGGTTTAATTTACGGAAAATACTATTCATAACTGTATGCAATTAATCGGCATTTCGAAATGTGAGATGATATAAATGATTTAACTTTTCGCTAAATTTTGCATGGTCATAAAACTGAGCTAAGAGCAATCAATTCACAGGTAACTCTCACGGAATTTAATTCGATCATCGAATCCGCGATACGATGTTCTCACATTTTTCCAGATAGCCTCGGGAGCGAATCGGTGTGCTTTTAAGCGTAATTTTCATTCATTACTTATGAAACCATTAATTCCGCATCGAAAACCCGCTGTGTTTTTACTCGTGTGTGTTCTGTTTAAAACCGCGTTTTTATCTCGAGAATTTTACATGGCCGTATTCATACAACGCTGTTCAATGCAGTTTTTAACCACATATCAATGTGCTCTGGCTGATAAGCAGAGCATTTGTGTTCCTTGATTCCTATCGCGCACACTTCAATTTGCACTCGCAAACTGTGCGTAATCTGATTGATTCATTACTGCAAATCCGCGCACTTTATTTTCGCGAGCGACGCGCCCGCGTATCGGTTTCGATGTGAATGACTTTGCCGTGGCCTTCCTTTTTCATACCGAGAGTTTGATGAAACGATCGATTCTCATTTGCTGTTCCCCAACAGTGCAATTTTCAGAGAAAAAAGCTGGCCCAGATTTCACCTCAACTGTTTGCCGTAGTTTCGTAATTGATAGACGAAGGCCTAACGTTATTATTCCACTAATATCGTGGCGTTTTAGAATTAATTAAATTCACGTTTACGTCGATTACCCTGGGTATTGTTGCTAATGTGTTTCGTAAGTTCGAACACCCGAACACGTGACATACTATGCATGTGATGGCAACAGAGAATTAAAGCCAACGGTACACAGTACTATTTTTCCTACTGGATTGCTTACGAGAGCCAATCAGGATTTAGCCCCTTCAGTCACCCGATCTAAAGCTCTGCATCCTGATTGCCTCTCGTAAGCGATCGAGAGTAGGAAAAATAGTATCGTGTGCCCGTTGGCTTAAGATTCATTCAAGGAAGGACTATAAACTGTAGACTTAACTATAAACTTCATTTCCTCATTTTGTAAATTGTACAACATTTTCTACGCTAACAGAAATGAGTTCTCTTCATGACTTTTTATAATTACGGAAAGAGAAATGTAGCTGCCGTAGCTAAAAACTGCATGTGTGGGCAGCTAATATTTAGTTGCGATAGCTACATATTTTGCTACCGTGCCTATTGTGTTAGGTGCAACGGCAAACCCTCTGCTATGATTTACAAATTTATAATTATGGCAGCAAAATGTTTTTAGCCACGATTAGCTACGGTAGCGAAACAGTTTTGTTTTTCAGTGTTTGTTTAATTTTTGTGCTCAATTGCGAGCAATTAAGAATTGTACGGTTTACAGGAAAGCTGCAGGGAAAACTTGCGGAGATAAATAACGCTATAAATTTTGACTTGCTAACGCGGGGGAACATCATTTATCAAGTCAAAACTGACAAATAACATAGGAAGTGGCGGGGCTGTATCGATTCGTTCTACATATGGCGCAACTTTCGCGAAAATCAGCACACCTTTCTATCGGGAGAAACCCGAAGAAAAGCTTCTCGAACATTGCGCGTGATTTAATGGCGTCGCTGTACCGTAAGTTTGTTACAACGCATAAATTTCGCGTCATTATGAGGCTGTTTGCGATAATTGCGTCGCGTCGCGGGCAACGACTTAAAAGGTCTTCTAGGGTAATTAATTATTGCCGACGAAGGGTGAGGAAGGTGATAAACACGGCACATCTGCAGTTCGCTAACCAAGAGGCACACGAACAAGCCTCAGATATTGCCTCGAAGATTGAAGGAAGCCGTGACGAGATCCGGTGGATGCTGTGCTGTTGGATCGGCAAAGACGTAGCGGCGCTGTTATAAGCCATCGGCCGCGGCGCAGCGCGTTCTGTTTTTGCAATACAAGTTTTTCCAATTCCCAGCAACATATACACTATTTTTCCCAGGCTATTAATTAAAACAGCGAGTCGATTGACGTAGTTGGTAGTTGATATCGAATTTTTTTTTATGACGTCTGTTATCGCGAACGATATTCTTCCCCAATATTTTTTATTCTGCTAAATGTCGACGTGATATTTGCATACTGAGCTCACGACAAACACGGCCGAACGGTTTTAACGTTGTCGATTTTAGTAAATTGACAACGTTACGATTCGTATTTAAATGAATTAAACGCGACGGCGCGTATTAAAATGGGTTTTCCGCTTAATGTGACATAACTGATCGTTAAGTGATGGTCGTTGACGATGTACAGCGATAATATTATAATTAGCGATAATTCTTCGTATTTGACTTTCTTAATATTTTACAGTCATTACGTCATCGCGTCGACGTGGACGCAGGGAAAGAGATTGTCAGAAATTTTATTTCCTACGTTTACAGAGAAATGATATCGCGGCGTATTTCGAAAACTGAACTTCTATGACGAGCAAATACGAGTGCATAAGAAGTCCCGATAAACGCGATCGTTGTTTACGTTTCGTGCAGTCGATATATCAAGCGACCGATGACAGCAAGTCGGAATATTGCTCGGGGTGTCTTTTTTTCTTGTCGACCGTGTCCGCGCGCTCTTACTCTTCTCGAGATTATACGTGATGGCGTGTATAATGCAGGTCGCGCCAGTCCGACCCCGATATCCACAGCAGCGGGGTGCACGTATACAATAACCCTCCCGCCCTCCAGTCGACGCCTCCACCAATCTCGAGACGCGATAAAAACTAAGATTACTGTGCAATGCAATCAGCGGCGTACCCGGTGTTCTTTCAGATTAAAACGCAGTCCGAGATTACCGGTCGAAACTATTGTTTTGCCAAGAGCATTCTCCGCGAGTGAGATTGCGTCTCGGTTAGCCAGATGCAAAACGCGCGGGGAGATTTTGAAGATCGGGATCAACTTTAGAAAAATCTACAACTGTCGTCTCTCCGTTACGTGCACTCCAGCTGCATCCTTACGCTCGCGTGCGCACATGCACGTCACGTATTCTTTTGAGTATCAAAAATTCGACATGTGTCAGGAACGATAGCTTCTTGTGTTTCCCGTGTTTGCGTCGGAGTAAAAGATTTTAAGAAACGCTCAAGTCAAATTGGATAAATTCTCACTTGCATCCGACGCAATCATATCGATACGTATAGCAGTAAAAAAGTATGATGGGTTACTAAATAGAGGCTTTTCAATTTTTAATCCTTTAATCTCACAAAATTATATGCGTTATATAAAATATGGGCCAAATGATTTTCGACTTTGCCTCCGGTGCTTGCGTTTGATTGGAGAAATCATAAACAGCTTAAAACAAAGTTTAGCAGCTGTTGCATAGTGTGTATGCTCGAGACTCAGCAATGCTAAAAAGAAGGGATCGAATATATATTTAATGCAAACAAGCAATGTTTAGAAAAGTATCTAAGAAATTAGAACACACAAATGTTTCAACATTAGAATAAACAAGTCTGTATTTTTTGTTCCTTAAGATTTAAATTTTTATCTCGTAGCTTTATACGTTATTTGATGAAAATTTAATTTTTATT